TGGAAACAACGTGACGTATTTCTGTTTCCATTTTCCAATCCCACACCCCGTCACTACATTCTAAAGTCGAGATTCGTACCCATCGACTAGGTGTCCCTAAACTTATGCTGCAGAGAGTAACATTCGTAGTCGTCCTCTCGCCTATCTAAGCAGTAATGACCATTTGCTGTCAACTGCGGTAGACCTTGGAAAAAAATACAAAAAATGTTGGAAGTTATTTAGCATCGAATACTATATATTATAATGTAAATTGTTCAGCCTTGATATTATCAGAAAATTTTATTTCAAGACGAAGACTATTAAACTTAATACATTAAACGGTCTCCGGTTTACTGCATATGAAACACAGCAACATTTAGCTGCTATTTTACGCAGGTATTCCGTGAAAGCGTGGTCCTTCCCTGGTCTAGCTAACCCATTCGCGCAACAACTATAATATAGCTGCAGCGTGGCATTAAAAATTTACAAAAATTGACATTAAAAATGTTAGTTTACCATATTTAAATAAGTAATACTATAAATCACGAAACGAGAAAGAAAACATCTCAAAACACTGGAAAACTCTTCTTCGATGTCACAAAGGCATTTGATCAGGTCTATCACGACGTCTTGCACTACAAGCTATATAAACTTAATGTGCCCGATAATTTACTCGTAACGTCATCCGAGATTTCCTTACAAATCGGTCTTTTCGTTATCGAGTAGAGGAAATCCGTTCCACAAAACGTTTGCTAAAGGTCGGGGTCCCACAAGGCTCCGTCCCGTCTCCACTGTTATTCACAATCTTCACGAGTGATATCTCTAAGGACCCAGTCCAGCCCTCGCCGACGATACGGCGCTCTTTGTATCAGATTAAAATAGGAATAGTCTCACATTAAAGCTCCAAAAAGCTACCAATCGCTTAGGCGAATGGTTCCGCCGATGAAGAATCGAAGTAAATCCCGAAAACAGTATAGCAATATACTTTCAACGCTAAAAAAAGATTCTAGGGCCAAAAGATAAGCTAGATATTATCTCCCAAATATCTGGGAGTCACGTTCGACGTCCGTATGAGTTTTGCGAAACACATAAGTGCAGTTTGCAACAAAGCCAAGACGTTCATTGGCCGTCTCCACCCTCTAGTGAACAGGAAGAGTAAGTTGTCGCTAAGACACAAACTCCACCTGTACAAAACCTGCGTTAGACTTATCATGTCTTACTGCAAGTGTACCTTTTGCCCAAACGTATAGGACCCACCTATACGAACTACAGAAAGTCCAGAACTTTTTCACATCAAACACTGACACTACACCTACACCAATTGGGACAAGCACAAGTAGGTTAACGGATGGGGCGGGTCGCACCCTTAGGCAGGCACGACGCATATCAGCACACACCGCGCACACACCGTACACCCGCGTACCTGGACGATTCTCACTGCCCAAAACATCTAACGACACGAGCTAAGCAGTCAGAGGCGGTGGTTCGCACACCCCCACTCGGACAGCGGTCAGATAGCTCAAAAAACCTCAACAGAGGGGGCATTATGGTTGGTAACAATATCAAATCATAAACCAATATCATCTTAATCCCCATCATTGCCTTATCTTTTTTTAAATAGCTGTGTCAGATGAAGCTGTAAGAGCCGCATAGGCTATCAGCAATTACATCACAGAATTAGATTGAAGTAACTGTTTACGCCCGAACGCTGGTTTCGGAATCGACGTCAGAGGGCGCTCGGCTCGGCGCCATACCGGTTTGACGTTCGGTCGTGCGTAGAACGTGCGGCGTCAAATACGAGTCGGCTGCCAGCTGTGCTAACGTCAGCACGCTGTCAATTTTAGTTCGGGAACTCGGAATAATTAGGCGCGGCTAGTAAATATACTGTCTAGGATTTGTAACGCGCATTCCTTGCTGGAGAGCTTCCCCGGGACTCATTGTGTCTGACTCAGAATCTGTATAAGTGCATTCGACAATATTAGCTAATGCGGCCTTTGATATTCTAGAAATAACTGTTGCTACGCGAAACGGTAGTGACCTTTGATCCGGACACTCCCTGTTCGTTTTGTGTGTTAAGCTTTATAACAACGAGTGTTAGTGGCTTCTGTAAGTTAGTTAATAGTACGATAGAGTTAATGGACTGTCATCGTGACGAACGAAGAAAGTGACTGGGACGGCGCCGCGGAAGATTACCTCAATTTGGAGCGGTGCTGACGTCCGGGCTGCTGCCGACGGCAAAGGTCTAATAAGGTCAATCATCACCAGTCACACCCAGATACACATCACCGCACCTTATTTCCCTTGCACCACACAACCACATGCGACCTGACCGAATCCTGAGGGAACAGTCGCCTTGGATATAGGTAAGTAAGCTCCGTCTAATATTCTCCCCGTTGAATGGCAGTAGTATAGAGCGCTCCCCCTTATTGCTTAGTGTAATTAGAGAAATTCCACTTTGGCCTTAGGAGGCCCGACCTGCACCTGCTTGTAAGGTCTTCCTTCATGGGCCGGGAAGATACTACTATTAGATAGGCAGCTGTAGGCCATAACAGTAATAATATAATATATCGATGGATAAATATTAAGTTCCTTTCAACAGCTTGTGCTGCCTTTTAAATAAATTATCAATTTAAAGCTATTGTTTGGTAAAGAGATAATATGTATTCTGTGGTTAAATATATCAAAATCTATTCAACGTCAAACCAAAACTGTTCAAATAAATTGCTAAATAAAGCATTCGTTACTTTTGTTCAGTTGTAGATATCTTGGTCACGAATTTTATTACGTAGACAAAAACTCCGTATAGCTTTATCCATGTTATCATCATCATCATCATCATCATTACAGCCCTTCTCAAGGTCACTGTTAAACATAGGCCTCCTCTAAGGAATGCCGCAAAGTAATAGATGGAGTGAACACCTGGTAAAACATGCAGGAAGTCGATGGATGCAGATAGCTCAGAATAGTGCTATTCATATATCAGTCAACAATTTTGAGCTTGCAGAAGTTGAAGTAGAAGATCGGGCTAAGAGGCTCGCCGAGGGAGAGGCTTATGTCCATTAATGGACTGCCGTATGCTTATGATAATGGTACCGATGATGATGATAGAGTACGATATGACTACTTAGAATATTTTAAATTTGTTTAGTATTTTCTTTAATAATATTCTATGGTGACAAACCAGATAATAGTCTGCCTGTGGTCACCTGCAACCAACTTCAAACGAAGAAGGACGAAACGAAAAATGCCTCATAGCCTGTACTGGCTATGTTACCCTGTTTTTTCATTTTCTTCGCGTCAACACAGTCCACCTGCAGCTACTACAGTTCGAGGACACTTGGAACCAACTTGGGATGTTTTGGTTGCAAGCACTTTTGAGATGATTATCATAATTATTTGCTTTCGCTAAATTTTTATTTCATTAGCTACCTTAGGGATTGATTTTGTTTAAACTTGTACCCAGCCAAGACGCACAGAATGCTCAATCCATTCAACGTTCTCCAGACAGTTGAGTTTTTCGATTTTTTTTTATTTCATCGACACCCTGAAAGGAAAAAGGATAATTTATAGTCTTTTAAAATATTACTCTCTACACAGACTTTTTATATAAACATTGTCAAACTGAAGTTGACATAAGGCACCATTTGCTGAGAATATTCTATCAAATAATTATAAAAACCTTACAGAATAATATGTAATTTTTATGAGTGTTGTGAGTGTAATATACTGATGCCTGTGTCTGCAATTTGTCCCTTTCGAAGTGAAAAGGGGAATAAAAGTGTCCGTTTCCAAGTTATTTTTAATTGGCATTCCGTTACTTTTTGTTTTGGAAGCTGGTTTAGGTTTCAGTCATACCGTTCTGAAGGTATAAGAATCAATTTAATATTTTTGTATGAATGTTCGTATATAAAAGAATATGCGAAGTCCATAAACGAGTCAAGGGAGTTTAGGATTGGTCTGTTTTGATAAGACTTCCTTTTAAAACGAACAAAGTATGTGTACTTACAGTAATTTAGAAGTCAAAAAATGTACATTTTATATGTTAGCTACATGTTAGGCCCATAGTTATACACATACTAAGAATCGGATTGTAAATACGTCATTCATAACATCGCATAAAATTGTCATCGTTGAAAATGCCTTTGTATTTGATCTAATATCTAATAACATGTAGTTAGAGTGCAAACTGAGATACATCCCCGCCAGTACCACTGAAATTGCAAATTGCAATTTTAAGCGCAGATTTACCAAGAGTTTGGCAGTGAAAAGACGACATGTCTTCAAAATTTATAATATATTTTAAATTTTTACGTGGTAGAGCCATGTCGCAGCTATATTATGGTTGTAGCACGCATGGGTCGGCTCGAACGGGGAAGGACCACGCTCTCACAGAAAACCAGCGTAAAATAGCAGCTTAACGCTGCTGTGTTTCGTATGGTGAGTGTAGAGAACCGGAGACCCTTTTTACTGGCAAAGAGGCATTCCATCTTAGTCCTCACGGGTGACAACGCATGTGCATCTTGAGTCTTTATTGAGGATAGATGTAGATGTCTATGGGTCACAGTAACCACTTACCATCAGGTGGACTGTGTGCTCGTTTATCACCCGATCCTATAAAAAAAAAATTTTTTTTATTGTTTTACTAAGAACAGAGAAGTCTAAAGAAAGACTGATGTCTTAAGGATCCAATATAAGAAAAAGTATTTTCCATGAGTACGTCAAATGTCGTCAATATTAGTTTGATCATTGCTGAGCCGACACCCTAGCATTGGCTATGCTACTAACTTATTATCAGTCTGCTGATTTAGGTTCAGTTTTTTGTCATCGCTCGATCATCTGACCCTTGTTTGTTAACTGGCAGAGAACACGGTGCACAGGTGGGCTTTGTGATTACTCTGCTTTACACCGTGTACGCATAAGTGTACGAAAGGATAAATTAAATGTTTCTACAAAAAATTTGATAACTAGTAAAGAATATTTTTCAGAATATTACCAGAAATGTGAATAACCCTGGAAAAGAAATGAAACTCGGCGATTTAAAACATCACGTAAGTTCGCATAAGAAGTTCGTTTTAATCCTTGCTCATTAATATTGCTTATACATCAAGGCGTCTCCTAAGTTGGAAGGCGTTATCGAAATTAACACATTTGGCAGGATGCCACTAATTATCCAGACTTATGTACAGGCATTTCTTTTTGTGCTATTTGTACACTGATCTGGATAGTTTTAGGTTCTATGAATTTAGCTGTTTTGTAGTTATTATTAATAACATACATAAGTTACATATTTACATAGTTATCTGCACCTGTCTGAAACTCTAGTAATCTTGATAATCACTCAAAGAATGTGCATGCAGATTACTATACATAACCGATCATTAGTGGTATTTTGCCGCCACATCTTATTATTAATTATTTAGTAAGGCCGTTTGTATAACGTCAATTAGTAGTGCTACCGTTATCCAGATATATTATATATATATTTATATATATATATATATATATATATATATATATATATATATATATAAATTGTATAAGTAGTGTATATTCTATGTTGATTTTCATATAGTTATTTTGTTGATCCTTAATTCTTTATCTTTCGAATCATACTCGTATTGCATCTCCAAAGTAGTGTTCTCTGCTAACTTATAGGCTGAGTGGTAGAGAACGCCTTAAGTTGTTAAGTCTGCCTTTGTACTCTTTGTGCCACAAAGTTTAAATAAATAAATATCCGTATCTATCTCCGAAACGCCACCTCTATAATAACGCTATTAAATATTTTACTCACAGACAGCTTCAAATATTAAATCTGATTATTAACCAACAAAGACATGCGTAATACCACTATGTACTGGCAACGTAAGAGAATCAACCACCCCACAATAATTTCCTGGGTGTCGTAAGAGGCGACAGCGGCAGAATAAACAGGAAATTAATAGCAGCATCTTCATGATAACAAGTCAAGCCAAAGTCAAGCGTGGGAAATATAACAAACATAAGAAGAGGCAAGCTATAGGATAAGTCCATATTTAGCTGGCCACTTTTGATAAGTTGTAATGAATAATGAATAAGTTGTACGTAATAAATTCTATACATGCATTATACCAACTTACAGGTCTTCATTTATTATCTACACGACAAAGAACACAAGGATTTCAGAGCGATCTGTGCCGGGAGTATTATTGCTGAAGATAGGGTTTTAACCTCTGCTCACTGCTTCTTCACTAATAGGAAAAGGTTTGTTGAAATATTTTTTGTTAGGGTAAGAAATAATATCGCTGCCGTTGTTTCTCGGTGTAGAAAACACTGAAATTGTTTATTTCATAATATCATGCTGACTTGCCACGTGTTTTTGGCGAACAAAGAACGTAATCATTTTTTCAAAAATGTGAAGTCAACACAATACGCACTGGAAGAGCGTTTTAATTTTTTTTAATCCATCTTTCCAATAGTTCTTAAGAAGGACGAGTTAATTGTTACATTCGCTTTATCATCTTTTGAGCTTTAGCTTCACTTAGGCTGTCTGTGTTACGGTTGACTAATAATTTTTCATAACTTACTCTTTCATATCACCTAAAAATCGTACACATTTTCTTTGAATTAGGTTTTATAGATAACAAGAGTATTTACAGTAGAGCTCCATTAAATCGCAAAACGGATTGTATTAGTGCTGGCTGGCGAGTATATTTTTTGAATAACTACTGTTGTAAATGACATTATAAGTAAAATTAACATGATTTTAAATAAAAGTCCGTTACGTTTATACGGGGGTCCGTTGCGCAGGTAGAATTGGAGCCCGCGGATGAAGGCGTGCCATGTGTTCTGGTGCATCTTACCTTAGAAGGAGAAAGTGGAGGAGATCTCCTCTCACAAGTAGGGGCTGCCATGGGGTGGCCGGCGCTGATGGGGAATCCGATATTTGCGAAAGCGTTCCCGTGGCCTTGTCAATATCCGACGAAGTTGGAACACTATTGTGAAATAATGTTGCCAGGTTCATTGTAATAGTGACGCGTTCAGTCAGTCAGTTAGTATACGATGAAAAAAAAACATAAACACTCACGCCTGTCACCCAGAGGGGTAGGCAGAGACTATGGACTTCCATTTGGCACGATCCTGACACACCTCTCTCGCTGTCTCCACATCCATATACCTACGCATACACGCTCGTCAGTTAAAGGTATTCTTGATTTGGCCCATTTTCAATATATCCCCAATTTGATCGATAAACTTTCGCCTAGGGCGTCCCTTCCCGACTCTGCCGTTCACCTCTACAACATAAATTTGCTTTGTCTCTCTTTCCTCATTCATTCTTTCTACATGACCAAACCACCGAAGCATTCCTTTCATAATCCTGGTCACAACATCATCTTGCAAACCACACTGTTCTCTTATCAAACAATTTCTCACTCTATCATTCAGATTCATTATACGATGACTTGATGATTATGACTAAAATTAAATTAACCTATCTTGATTGACATTGTGAAACTTGTTGACGAATATTATATCAACATAAACAGAAAAAATATTGTTAGTAAGAATAATAATTTAATACTATTGTGACTCGAGGGGGTGCTCTGACTTTCGGAACGCACCCTGCACCCGCCGTTTCGGTCGCCATTTTGTGTGTCATTTGTCTTGTCAGTCATTCGGTTTCTAACCTCAGGTCTGATCATTCGAATATTTTTTTTTATAGGAGAGGGGGCAAACGAGCATGCGCCTCACCTGATGGTAAGTGACTACCGCCGCTCATGAACAACTGCAACACCAGGGGAATCGCAGATGCGTTGCTGGCCTTTTAAAAAGGAATAGGCTATTTTCTTGATAGTCCCTAAGTTGTATCGGTCCGGAACAATCGCTGGTGGTAATCGATTCCACAAGGAAGTTGTGCGAGGGAGAAAACTTCTTCTAAAACGCAAACTGGTGGACCGCCAATCAACCAGATGATATGGATGGTATCGCGAGTTTTGTCGCGATGTGCGATGGTGAAATTGAGCGGCTGGAATTAGTCCGAACAATTCCTCAGAGCACTCGCCGTGATAGATGCGATAAAATACGCAAAGAGATGCAACATCTTTACGCAGTGCCAGTGAGTCAAGCCGATCGGAAAGAACTCGGTCATCGACGATTCAAACCGCTCTGCGCTGGATGCGGTCAAGGGGAAGGAGCTGGCACTGGGGAGCCCCTGCCCAGAGATGGGAACAGTATTCCATGTGAGGCCGAACCTGCGTCTTGTTGTAGGCGGTGTGCCGTCATGAAATACTGTCCCGCTGTGCTGCTCTCTTTAGTTTCTTGTTAATTTTTTTGTTACGTTGTGTTTGTGTTGTTTGTCATTGTTGAGTTATTGTGTTTTTATATTGTTTCGTACAAAAAATATGGAACCTCAATCAAGCACGTCGAGCAAAAGCTCTTTTTCCCCAATAAAGAAGAGACCACGGGCTTCTCTTAGCGTTACCGAAAAACTTATGGTACCCAATGTCTATAAATTCGTATTTGAGCAGAAAACTGCCTCGGTATTTCTACCTACTGAAGTACCGGAAAAAAATGTGTTTCTAAGACAGCTGAAATTTTGGGAATCGGTATGACCACAGTGTTCAGTGTATTAAAAGAATACAAACAAAACGAGCAATTTAAGTCTCCTGAAAAACTTGGACCGAAACATAATAACAAGAATAAATTAGACGATATCACCTTAGCGGCGAAAAGTACACCATTTTTTATGCAAATGAGGCACCCACCATTGCAAAGGTAACTTTAGTGTTATTTTTTACATCTTTTCGCGCGGCGCTATGTGTGTGTAAAGCTTGTTATAGATACAGTGTGCGTGACGACGACTGTCGCGTCACTATCACACAAATCAAAGCTGCATATTTACACGCTCACGCACACAGCGTTTTTTTGAGGTACTATTAGACTTTTTTCTATTGCGTAGACTTTCTTACCCATAATTTGCTTAAATTACACATTCTTAAGGTTGTTAATGATGACCCAGATTTACCGAACGTCTCTTGGAGTACCTTGAGGAAAGTTTTAAAACACTTAAATTTCAAATACGCCACAAAATCAAGAAAAAGCGTGCTAATCGATAGACGCGATATTGTTTTGTGGCACCAGGGATACCTTCAAAAAATTAAAGACTATCGCAGTGAAGGAAGATACATTTATTACCAAGATGAAACCTGTATCAACGAAGGTAATTAAAATTTTCTCTGTTTTATTTATTTATCTATTTCAGTGTAGATACTGCATGCCACCGGTGAATTTAATCAGTAATTGGTATTTATCATTTTCTCGAAGGTCATACACCGAAGAACCAATGGATTGACTAGACTGTACAATCGTCCCGGCATGCATTCTTAGAAGGGTTGACCACCGGCTTGATAGGGCCTTCAGGAAAAGGCAAACGGCTAATTATTAGCCATATAGGTGGGGAAGAAGGATTTGTAGATGATAGCTTACTTGTGTTTGAGGCTAAAAAAGGAAAAGTAGATTACTTTCAAGAGATGAATGCTAAATGTTTTGAGGAGTGGTTTAGTGGGGTTTTGCCCAAACTAAAACCTAATTCCGTAGTGGTGATGGATAATGCCCCTTATCACTTCAGAAAGTTAGAATGTCTTGGAATAAACCAAGAATACAAGAGTGGATGGCGAGCAAAAATATCCCATTCGAGGCAGAAATGGTAAAAGCTACTCTTATAGACATTGTACGGCAGCACAAACATAAACACTGCGACAAGTATGTCGTGGACGAGATGGCAGCGGAGTGTGGTGTCACTGTTTTACGTTTGCCCCCTTACCATTGTGAGCTCAATCCCATTGAGCTGATTTGGGCGCAGGCCAAAGGGTATGTAACAACAAGACCTTCAAAATGAAAGATGTAAAAAAACTTTTCGAAGAAGTACTAAATGAAGTGACTGCCGAAAAATAGAGTAGCTGCGTGGCTCACATAATAAAAGAAGAAGAAAAAATGTTTAATCTCGACCACATGATCGATAGTGTCTCAAACAAGTTTATAATAAATGTTACTGACAGTTACAGTGTAAGTGATGATATTATACCTGATGACGATAAATAAAAAAATGTAATATTTAAGCATAGTTTTTTTTATGAAATTCCTATGACGACATACACTATGGATAATTTTCGCCTGAAGAACTGACAACATGGATGTACCTTAAATAAATCTTGACTTAATTTTTAAAACCTTCAGTAAAAATAATTTTTTTTTACCATTCAGTCGTTTTCTTTATCAGTCAGTCATTTTGTTTTGCGTTTAGTCATTTAGTTACAACACTATTTTTGATCCATCAAAACCTGACAACCCAGTAAACGTCAGGCAGCTTCCTTTAATTAAAAATACGACTGTATGAGGTTTTAGTCGGTGCAAATCATAACATAGTCTTAACATAGTCATTGTCACGTCTCGCGTGGAGGGGTTATGCAGGTCAGTGCATAACCCCTCCACGCGAGACGGATATGCGTAAGCATTTCCTCATGTGTTTCCTCATTACATTTTATATAGTAGTGCATGTAAGGGACATTTTAGTAAAACTTAATAATAAAATTTTTTTGATGAATTTTTTTAGCACTTTCTGAAAATACGTTTTCTTGCAGATATAGGCGAAGTTTAAAGGATGTGAGGGTTATAGCAGGAATATTAACTACACATGTCCAACAACCAATTGCAGATGAAATACAACAATGGCGAACAATACGGCACATTTATACGCAGAAGTTCTTTCATTTTCCAGCTTATAATCTTGCAGTGGTGGTAAATTATGAAAATATTATTAGGACAATTAGTATTATTTGTATTGTAGTTGCACCGCAAAACAATCTAGCAGCCCATTGTATTCTTAAAAAAAGCACCGCAATTGCAACTAGAAGCTGACTTTTACGATGGTAAACCTTTTTTTTTATAGGAGAGGGGGCAAACGAGCATGCGGCTCACCTGATGGTAAGTAACTATCGCCGCCCATGAACAACTGCAACACCAGGGGAATCGCAGTTGCGTTGCCGGCCTTTTAAAAAGGATTAGGCTTTTTTCTTGAAGGTCCCTAAGTCGTATCGGTCCGGAAAATTCGCTGGTGGTAATCGATTCCACAAGGAAGTTGTGTGAGGGAGAAAACTTCTTCTAAATCACACAGTGGTGAACCGCCAATCATCCAGATGGTATGGATGTTATCGCGATGTGCGATGGTGAAATTGAGCGGCTGGAATTAGTCCGAACAATTACTCAGAGCACTCCCCGTGATAGATGCTTAAAAAACGCAAAGAGATGAAACATCTTTACGCAGTGCCAGTGAGTCAAGCCGATCGGAAAGAACTCAGTCGTCGACGATTGGCGCTGGATGCAGTCAAGTGGAAGGAGCTGGTAGTGGGGAGCCCCTGCCCAAAGATGGGAACAGTACTCCATGTGAGGCCGGACCTGCACCTTATAAAGTTGGAAGCGGTGTACCGGCATGAAATACTGTCCCGCTCTGCTGTCCTTCTCTTCCAAGTGACCACGAAATTGCACGTCACTCGATATATCGACACTGAAAATTCCGATACTGGCAGAAGCAACAAGGGAAGTGCCTTGAAACTGAGGAGTTACGACAAAGGGGTTCTTTTCAGCGGTAAACGCGCAAACTTGTGTCTTCTGGGGATTGAACTGGACTAGATTTAGTCGACCCCACTCTGAGACTTTGTTCAACAAAGTCTCGACTTCAGACACAAGTTTGTTTCGGTACTCAGCGACGTTTACCCGAGAAATATTGCCACGGCTGGTGTATAAAGCATCACCAGTGCTGTCGTCCGCATAGCAATGAATGTTACTGGTTTGCAACATATCATTGATATGCAGAAGAAACAGCGTTGGTGATAGCATGCAGCCTTGTGGTACACCAGCATTAGTGGGCTTGTAATCGGAGCATGCACCTTCTACTACGACCTTGATGCTCCGATCTGCAAGAAAACTGGTGATCCAATTGCACAATTTCTCGGGAAGCCCATAGGAAGGCAGCTTCGAAAGAAGTGCTTTGTGCCAAACCCGATCGAAGGCCTTCGCTATTTCCAAGCTAACGGCCAACGCCTTCCTCTTGGACTCCACTGCCTCCGCCCATCTATGAGTTAGGTAACCTAAAAGATCACCAGCTGAGCGACTTCGACGGAAACCGTACTGGTGGTCACTAATCAGCTGGTGATCCTCAAGGTACCGCATGAGCTGGCTGGTAATGATGGTTTCCATTACTTTGGAGAACAAGGAGGTGATTACGATAGGCCTGTAGTTGGACGGATCTGAGCGGTCGCCTTTTTTAGGAATTGGGTGCACCAAAGCTGCCTTCCATGAGTTTGGGACTGTGCCCTGGGAGTAGGAGTACAGAAAAAGACGCGTTAAAACCGCTTTACGCACCGAGCGTTGTGTAAACAGCACTTCCTGCATGGAGCACTCACACCGCGGGATGGTCGGCGGTGTGAGTGCTCCTAAGGCCAGTTTTTACCATGTTTACCTAAATGACTGTACACAGCCGAGGGAGCAAATCGGAAGAAAAATAATATATATGAATTTCGATTATCCACCCCATCTGGGGTGGATAGATGAACACGCGTTTTCAAGTATCCACCCTAGGGTGGATTTATTAGAGTGGATATATGGAATAGCCCCGGGTCCTTAACCTCAGGTTTTATCATTTTGAGTTTTTATTTTTTATAAGATAAGTGCCACCTGATGGTATATAGTTGCTGGGGCCCATAGACATCTACATCTATCCTCAACTATGAATCAAAATGCAGATGCGTTGTCACCCGTGAGGACTAATATGGAATGCCTCGTTTCCAGTTAAAGGGGTCTTCGGTTCTCTACACTCACCATACGAAACACAGCAGCGTTAAGCTGCTATTTTATGCTGGTATTCTGTGAGAGCGTGGTCCTTCTCCGGTCGAGCCGACCCATTCGTACTATAATACCTACTAATATAGTTGCAGCATGGCTCTACCACGTATAGAAGTTGTTGTCATGAAGCTCATCTTCCGTTTCAATTTCTGTCGCATCTTAGATTTTTTTTATAGAATCGGGTGACAAACGAGCACATAGTCCACCTGATGGTAAGTGGTTACTGTGACCCATAGACATCTACATCTATCCTCAATAAAGACTCAAGATGCAGATGCGTTGTCACCCGTGAGGACTAAGATGGAATGCCTATTTGCCAGTAAAAAGGGTCTCCGGTTCTCTACACTCACCATACGAAACAGCAGCGTTAAGCCTGCTATTTTACGCTGGTTTTCTGTGAGAGCGTGGTCCTTCCCCGGTCGAGCCGACCCATTCGTGCTACAACCATAATATAGCTGCAGCATGGTTCTATCACGTAGAAAATAGTTTGCGATATCTATTTTTAAATGTTCATGATTTTTTTTTCTAAACACATTTCTTAAAGAAGTATCTTATAATATCTTAGTGAATTTTTATCCTATATATGAATTTGGGATTTTGCCAATTATCTACGTGAAAGAGCATCAGAAAAACTATATGTAAAAGAGAAGAGAGACAGACATGTGATAGTTTTATGTGTTAGTTTTTTAAATCGAATAATTTAAAAATATACAAGAAAAATATAAAAACTATTTTTTTTAAATAATAGAACTCATTTCTTCAATATAATTCTTTCTAAATATATGTGTAATAAAACGATTTAAATGAGTTTAGCTTCTATTTATAAATAAATATAAAATTTTCGCGTCTCTTTACAGGAGATCAATCAATCGTGGAATTTTAATGAATTTGTAAACAAAATACCTTATGCATCTGTGAACCAAGAATTAGAAGGAGCTTGCATTCTTACAGCAGTGAAACATTTAGATGTATGGACTTTCGACTTAAACTAAAGTTTGTTTGAATTAAAAAAAAAACCGCTTAGTCGGGGCTCCACAGTGCGCCACAGTCTTCATGAAATTTGACATAACTACTGTCAAATTTCACACTTTACATTTTGTAGTTCGCATATTTACCGCGGAACTTTTTTAACACGCTTTTATTACTTTCGCGTGTATCTATCGATCTATGTAACATTATTTTTGACGTGACAACGTATTATAATTCGATGAAGCTAGCTGCACGCACGAAAAAACATGACTCATGCGGCGTTACCTCGCTCTGAGGCGTTCCATTTAAGGCTTGAAGTGCAAGCGAGAGCGCGGAACGAGCGACAAAGAGGCACAATCGGCCTCCGCGTTCGGCAGCGTTCGACATCTGTCTCTCTCCTACTTGAGTGAGCGATGCGTCCACATGGACAGCTGCTATGCAATAATACACTTACATGTATTCGTCAAGTATGAAGTGCAGTGAAAAGTGAATGTGGTGTCAATTGTTTATAGCAACATTTTCTTATGACGTTGTCACGTTCAACTATCGTCAGTAAACCGACTTTACAGACAACCGATTTTTTTTAATGTAATTTTTACCAACTTGTATATTGGCCAATTGGCTTGAAAATTAGCTTGTATCAAAAACCGATGACAATAATTTAATAACTTTATCCTAGTATCCTAATCAGGATCACTAACGTAACGTAACGTAACAGCCTATGTACGTCCAACTGCTGGGCACAGGCCTTCTTTTACTTCTGAGAGGGTTTTTTGCAAGGAAGTGTCCGCCGCGCTGCCCCAATGCGTATTGGCAGGCTTCACATGTCTTCGAAATATATTATATATTTTTATAATTTCTCAGACATGCAGGTTACCTCACGATGTTTTCCTTCACCGCAGAGCACGTGGTAAAACAACACTTAAAATTGCAATCAACAATTTCATAGGTGCTGGCGGTGATCGAACCCGGATTGCTTGCGTGCTTTGAAATTTACAGCTAGCGCTAACCCACTGAGCTACTACGGCTCTCTCAGGATCACTAGGATAAAATAAAATCATTTTATCTTTACTTTTTCAAACTATAATTTACTATCGAAACGTACCCTAGTTTAAACCGTAGACTAAATAAATTAGTTTTTGTAATAAGAGGGATATACATATATCTTCGAGATTAGTTAACCTATTTAACTTCTTTTTAGCTACCGATAAGTATCGAGTGGTAAATTTCAGTTGAATGCGATAATAATTCAAGTCAATTTAATTTTTTTCACAATATTAAAAAAATTATTAGTTCAAAGAAAGTGATATATGATGGTATACTTTATATTATAATTATCATTAGCCCGTGAAAGTTCACAGCTGTACATGGGCTCTTTTCTGGCCATCGCTAATCTGGATTTATAATGCTTGCGCCGCTAACGAGATGGTTGCAGCACCATCCTTCGCAAGCCTATTTCAAAAGAATTTCGTTTTCGAATTGTTTTTCTTTATCAGACTTTAATCCACTATTGCAAGTAAAGCCCATCCTCAACAACTTCCGCACATCCTTCGGAAGTCGCATATAAAAGAATTTCGTTTTCGAAAATCGAAATTGTTTTTCTTTATCAGACTTTAATCCACTGATGTACAATAGAAATAGGTCTTTTCAAAATGTAACTGGCATGCACGATTGCAAGGTAAGCCCAACCTCACCACACTCCCGCACCATGGTTGGAGAGGGCCGAGTGCTTTGCACTGGTTTTGCTAACACCATCACCATCTCTGGGATTTTTTAGTGTGAACCGCATACTGATGAGGTTGAAGTTTGGAGCACAAGTTGTTATATCTTCTCTACAAGGATATATTTCAGTGACTCTGCAGATTATCTTATCAATATTTTTTTCTTATCGGCTCGTACAAAGCTAGCCCTCTTTTTATGTAATATGTCTATAAAAAATACGTGATCAATGTACGTTTTGTGTAAACAATTTATGTTTACACATTTACAGTATATTAAATTGTTTAAAATCTTAATATATTTTTGATTTTTGCCATAATAAGCATATGCCTCATGTAAATTGATTTCATGAATTACTTTATTAACCTTCAATAGCAAAATAAAATAACCGATTACAGGATTGGTCAACTAACAAGAATTTATTTACTGAAGAAACATGTTTGATAAAACGGTGGACTTGCCAATGCATGTTGCTACAAAGCTGTAGACAATATTACTGTACACAATATGATCCAAGCCGAAAAATGTACACTGTTAGTATTGCAATTTAATTATAGATAGACACCACGTATTCAGTAAATATAGTGAGGAAAATTAACTTGTCACTCTGGAGTAATGTGGTGTATACTTTTTTATCATTATCATCATCATTATTATTGTAAACCATTATAACTTCACTGCTGAACATATGTTTCCCCAATAATGCATCTGTCGACTCCCTACATTTACACCACGTTCCATCAGGTTTTCATTCCATCTAGTGGGTGATCGCCGAACGCTGTAGTCGGTACTAGGCTGCAAATTGATAATATTTCCTCCCTATCGGCCGCCTTATTATCACTTAAGCCTATGATCCCAGAGCCGTGGTAGCTCAGATGGTTAGCGCTCGCTGTAAGCTTCACAGTACTCGAGCAACCCGGATTCGATCCCCGCCGGTACAAATGAAATTGTTAATTGCAATTTTAAGTGCTGATTTACCACGTGCTCGGCGGTGAAGGAAAACATCGTGAGGAAACCTGCATGTCTGAGAAATAAGAAAAAAATACTTCGAAGACATGTGAAGTTCGCCAACACGCATTAGGGCAGCGCGGTGGACAATTCTTTGCCCTGAAACCCTCTCAGAAATGAGAGGAGGCCTGTGCCCAGCAGTGGGACGTAAATAGGCTGCAACTTTTTAGGATCCCTTGGGGTATGTCAGTGACTCAGTCTATGCTGTTTCTATTATGCTATGGAAGTTTGATCAATTGTGTATGTGTACTTGTATCGATTCCAGTTCGTTACTGCATTTGTAGTAGTAATTAGGATAAAATGACAGACAAGATTTTTTTGTACTGATCCGAAATTGTGACCGAATCAATAAATTGTGTTAGTCACCATGTAATAAAAATTTACTTTGTTTTCGTATAATCTTATTATATAAAATTTAACAATAACGTTAATAGATACAAGTACTCTTAATTCAACACTCAAGCGTTTTTAATTAATAATAATTTATCTCGTCCTTACATGTCCGTCCGTCACCGTCACCACGCCACGGCATATTTGTGAACGTACTAATCTGAATTTTATTTTTAATTATTTCTTTAAGCTTTTACCTATATCAATACGTACATATTATATATTAGATAGAATATTTATGGATATGATTATTATGTACTTTTAAATGTTATGATAAAAAAATATGAGCATTTCCTTTTTTAACCGACTTCAGAAAGGAATAGCTTCCCAATTTGAGTGTATGTTTTAATTTTCGTATGTATGTTACGCGATATCTTCGCAGGTTATGAACCGATTTAATAATTCTTTTTTTATTAAATAGGCTTTACCTCAAGGATGGTCTTATTATATTTGGAAGAAAAAATTCCGCCACAAGGGTAGAAAATAGAGGAAAAAGTTTCATATTGGACTATTGTTCAAGAAATTTCATATGATATCTTCGCAGATTGAGAACCGATTTTAATGATTCTTTTTTTATTAAATAGGTTCAAGAGTGGTCCTATATAAATTTGGAGAAAAAAATCCATTCCTAAGGGTAGCAAATAAATAATTTCTTTTTTAGCAATTTGAAGTCGGTATTTACTTTTTGTTAAAAGTTATAATTATTCTTTGAGAAGGAAGGTGTGGTATCTTTTTTTTCGTAAGTATTTTTTTACACGTGGTAGAGCCATGATGCAACTATATTAGTAGTATAGTTGTAGCACGAATGGGTCGGCTCGACCGGGGTAGGACCACGCTCTGACAGAATACCAGCGTAAAATAGCAGCTTAACACTGCTGTGTTTCGTTTGGTAAGTGTAGAGAACTGGAGACCCTGTTTACTGGAAAAGAGGTATTCCACCTTATTCCTCACGGGTGACAACGCATCTGCATTTTGATTTGCAAACGAGGATAGATGTAGATGTCTATGGGCCACAGCAACCACTTACCATCAGGTGGACTGTGTGCTCGTTTGTCACCCTATCCTATAAAAAAAATCTACCTAGGCTTACTTAATATGTTTTGGTATATACTTATTGTATAAAAAAACTTTAACAAAAACGTTAATACGAGTATATGTCAACAGTCAAGCGTTTCATTTCTCTGGTCCTTACATTGTCAGGAAATAGAAGGAGGTGGCCTGATTTGCCACGGCACCGGGGATCCTAAAGAAAAAGGAGAAGGCATCGTTGTTGGTGTAACATCGCTCATCAATGTTGGTCTGCCCAGTCTGCATAACCGAGTTGGATTATATCACAAGTGGATCACCGATAGGGGTTCTGGCTTAAGTTTAGAGAAATTCATGTTTCATTTGTGTTTTGGTTTAATATTGGTTTCTAATAAAGTGGTGTTCTACGCTTAGTGTTTTTTTTAATTTAAAAACCTATAACGGTAAGCTGTAGACAATAAAACTAAATGAAAATAATAAAAATCGGTGTTGTATTAGAATTGCAAGATAAAGATAGATAAAATAGCTTTTATCGTTTGTACATGACTTGTTTCTTTCTATATACTTGTAGTAGTTTGACACTCTAGTAAAGAAGGATCCAACACCCGTTCGATGTCCGCTCACGACACCGACTAAAATACCTTTGCTTTGCTCGTTGGGATCACCTGTTTTCATGCAAACTAGCGGACCTCCGGAGTCACCCTAAAATATTAAAAATTATTAAAGTAAAATATTAAATTTACCTAATGCATTACTTTTGGAGTGTTGATAATATAAACAAACATTGTGCTTAAAAATAATGGCGCGAATAACACAATCCCCTTGAATCGAGTGAATGCTGATAAAACAGTACTAACTTTAAAAATCTTAACACAATCAGTATGTGAGCTACGAAATCACTGTTGTCTCGTCGAATGGCGATAATTATTGAGAAAAATAATAATCGAAACCAACAAATGTTCGTAGTATTGTTTTAAATAATGCAGCCTAAGGAAATCCACTTCGCCAAGACATACCGAGGGTGTTGTATATTGTGACAAACGGAAACCGAAATAGGAGATAACAGCAGAATATTATTGGTAACAAATTAATCTTATAAAAAAAGGAATGTTGCTCAGCCGCCTGTCAGGCGGGGTATGAGAAATATCCTCATTATATGGCTGTAGAGGGGCCTAGGTTTTGATTATCTGTAATGAATGTATGAATGAATTGGCACGGAGATAGAAGTTAACCAGTGTCTGAAGTGTTGAGAGTCTGGAGGTGTGGTCAATTGACTACCATTCAATTGTCAAGCGACCACCAACCCATTGTCAAGAATGGTGACAAATATACTAAATACACGCAGGTTTATATCCAGGAGAGTAATACAATACTGACTTATGTTTGTTAATATCCAGAAAAGTTATAATAAAATGTAACTGAAATAAAATAAAATTATATGCCATCTATATATATGGCCGACCCATTACCACGTTAGCTTACTGATCCGTTGGGCTATGTCGGTCACTCTGGTTCTACTACGAATGTCCTCATTTCTAAGCATCTATGACGCAGAGAAACCCAGAGAATAGCCCTCTTCATAGTTAGCTGAGCAACCTTGAGCCTTCTCATACGGCCAACAGTGAAGGACCACGTCTCAGATCCATAAGTCATCACTGGCAACAAGCACTCGTGGTACAATCTCGTTTTCAGGTTTTGAGGTATACCTGACAAGAAGATGTGTCGTAATTTCCCGAACGCTGCCCAGCCTAGTTGAATCCGTCGATTGACCTCTCGGTCGAAGTTGGACTTACCTAGTCGGACTATTTGTCGCAGGTAAACATACTCATCAACAACTTCGAGCTTAGTGCTCTCAACAACTACCGGCATAGGTGTGACATTCACGTTCAACATTATTTTTGTTTTGTCCATGTTCATCTTAAGACCTATCCGTTGGGAGACACAATTGGGGTCATTGAGCATGACATGGACGTTATACATGATCTTTGTTTTGTCCATATTCATCCTAAGACGGATAGGCCGTTGGGAAACACAATTGAGGTCATTGAGCACAGTGCTTAGGTCCTCCAGCGATACTATATCGTCGGCAAAACGAAGGTTTTTTTTTATTGAAAAGGTGGAAACGAGAATGCGGCTCACCTGATGGTAAGTGACTATCGCCACCCATGAACAACCGCAACACCAGGGGAATTGCAGATGCGTTGCCGGCCTTTTAGAAAAGAGTTTTTTTTTCTTGAAGGTCCCTAAGTCGTATCGGTCCGGAAAAATCGCCGGTGGTAAATAATTTCACAGAGAAGTTGTACGAGGATGAAAACTCTTAGTAAAACGCACAGTCGTGGACCGCCCGTGGTAGATTCGATAGAAAATGCAAAGAGATGCAACATCCCTACGCAGCACCAGTGTATCGCGCCGATCACAAAGGACTCGGTTGTCGACAATTCGAACCGCTCTGCGCTGGTTGCGGTCAAGTGGAAGGAGTTGGCACTGGGATGCCCCGGCACAGAGATGAGAACAGTATTCCATGTGAGGCCGAACTTGCGCTTTGTAAAGTTGCAAGCGATGTGCCGGTATGAAATACTGTTTTGTTCTGCTGAGAATGCTAAGCTTTTTGGAGATCCATTTGGCCTTTCCTTCCAAGTGACTACGAAACTGCACACTATTCGATATGTCGACGCCGAGGATTCCGATGCTAGCTGAGGCAGCAAAGGGATTGCCTTGAAACTGAGGAGATACGACAAAGTGTCTTCTGGGGATTGAACTGGACAAGATTTAGTCGCCCCCAATCCGAGACTTTGTGCAGCAAAGACTCGACTACAAACACAAGTTTGTCCCGGTGAAGGTGAGTGATGTACTCGCCATTGAAGTTAATACCGTATTCTTTTCTGTCCAGTAGCTTGAAAATGTCTTCCAATGCAGCGGTGAAGAGTTTCGGGGATATAACGTCACCCTGTCTAACACCTCTCTGCAGTTGGATAGGTTTCGTACTCTGATTCTGTACTCGGATAGCCATCATAGCCCTACTGTACAAACACTTCACCACATCGATATACTGACAGTAAACTTGGCACCGCTGAAGGGACTGTAGATCCGCCTAAATTTCGACGGAATCAAAGGCTTTCTCATTTTCCACATACGCAAGGCAAAGTGGCAGATTGTACTCTATACAATTTGCCGAAGGGTGTGTATGTGACCCATGGTGCTAAAGCCTCTTCGGAAACCGGCTTGTTCGGGAAGCTGGAAGTCGTCAAGTCTGCGTGCTAGACGATTTGTAATGACTCTCGAAAACAGCACGTAGTCGCGGCTCAAAAGGGAAATCGGTCTGTAATTCTTCAACAGAGCGTTGTCACCTTTCATGAAGAACAAGACCATCGCATTTCTGCTTCACGACTCCGGAGTTGTCTCATCATGGAGGATGGAATTAAAGAGCTTCTGAAGGAATTCAAGTACCGGTTTTCCACCCACTTTTATAAGCTCCGCTGTAGTTTCTTCGTCAACTGGGGCCTTGCCGTTTTTAAAGTGCTGGAGAGCCATTCTAATCTCGCTCAGACTTACGTCCGGGACATCATCGGAATAGTGACGCATAAGACCCGCTCTTGGATCTTTACTCACACTTGCATGTGGCTCCAACGATGACGTGTACAGCTGCCTATAGAACCTCTCAATTTCACTCAAAATGTCAGTTGTCCCGGAAACGATGCTGCCACACTCGGTCTTCAGCTTTAACAGTTGGCTCTTTCTGGCAGACAGATCTCTGTCAAAGACTTTGGAACCTTGGTTCCGCACGATCGCTTCTTCAATACAAGCTGTATTGAAGTTGCGTAAGTCCCTCCGCATGCATTTGAAGATCTGTCTGTTCAGTTGCTTGTATGCTGTCAAATCTGTTGAAGACTGCAGCTTCATTTCCCGTCTAACAGCCATATAAGAGTGTGATCGGAGAATTTTTGTGTTCTTGTGGGGCGGATCATACAGAACTTAGCTTCCACGAGCTTATCATTCATATCGTATACTTCACTGCAGTCTTTTAGGCACTGAAAACGGTTTTGTAACTCGAGCTGAAAGATTTGGGACGGAGCGTTGACTTCATTAGACGATACCTCTTCAACTTAACATTTAGGTTCAGTGTGCCTCTAACCATTCGGTGATCGCTACCAGTTTCCACCATTTCAATCACTGAGACATCACTGACCAGTTGTCGTCTGGTCATCATAATGAAGTCAATCTCATTTTTTGTCGAGCCGTCGGGGCTCGACCAGGTCTATTTCCTCTGGGGCCGTTTCTGCAAGAAAGAGTTCATCATAAAGAGTCCCTCTTTCTCCATGAAGTTTGCCAGCTGCTGGCCCCTTGGGTTCCGTTGCTCTTTTCCAAATTTCCCTACCTTCAGCTCACCGTTCTCTCTTGTGCTAAGTTTTGCATTGAAGTCTCCCATTAACACCGTATAGTGGGTTTTGGAGGAATGCATGGCTTTAGAGATATCCTCATACATTTCCTCCACCTCCTCATCAGGATGTGCTGAGGTTGGTGCGTAAACCTGTATGACCTTTAACAAATATCGTTTGGTTATTCTGAGTATAAGGTACTCAACCCTCGTCGACACACTCACAATCTTTACAATGTTGTTAACGAGAGACTTGTGGAGGATAAATCCGACACCTGCTTGAGACGGATGGTCGCCCTCCCGGTGATAGAACAAGTTGCTGGATTCGAGGATTACCGTATCCTCCCCTTCTCATCGGACCTCGGATAATCCTATTATATAATAAAATTTATTTCAGTAAAAAGATTTTGTTTACAATCATTAGTGGCCGGAGTCTCCTTTTAAGCAAATAATGCCTATAGCAGATGACTCCCCTCTTCCTTATCTATATCTACATATTATATACTATATTACAAAGAATAACTTACAGACTAAAAGGAATATTTACAGCTTTTCCTTCTGATTATGATACTTGTGCATGCTTGCGTGCGATCGCGCGCGCGCGGTGTGTGTGTGTGTCCTTTTTACATACGACATATTGTTTCGAATAAATAACCAGTTCCTTAGTGATTTTATTAAAAAATTGTGCCGAACAACTATTGTATTGTGTACTAGCAAACTTAGTTTTAGTTTGAGTTATTGTAGCTACATTATTTTTTATTCTTTTTCCTTTTTTACTTGCATCGTATAGTATATGTTTGTGTTTATTTAGTGTGATCTGTTTTATATACAGATATATTATTTTATATACATATATGCCGGCGTAACTTGTCTATCTCTTCTGTCAGCTCTAAGATCTTCTCGTCAGTTCTCAGGGTGCGTACATGTTGCCAGGTCGAGTCGTCTTAGGTAGCAACCGAACCTCCACCTCCTCCTTCTTATCACTCCCTGTTCCGCCACAGGGATATTTTCCACAGTTGCCAGGCTTGGCGAGCGATTTGGCACCGCAGTTTTTTAATTGTAATATTGTTGTTGTCAGTTAGTTAGTCACTTCAGTTTTATAAAAAAAATCATGCAAATTACACAACCTACCTTCCCGACGTCTGTGACCATGCTGGATGTACAAACAAAAGCATGCATATTTTTCTTGTAATGTCTATTGCAATGACGATAAGGAACAATTTCTAAATGTGCTAAAAGTAGCTTGTTCGATTTTTGCTGAAAAATAAATTAAATATTTTAAACTATTTTGAATTAAAATAGTATTGTTAAAGGAGGAAAATCCATTCCAGTACAGGAAATTTTGAATTAATTTTCCTGTATCCTAAATTAAAGATAGAGTTTAACTAGGTAAGGGCACCTTATTCCAAGGGGTTCCAAAATTGGCACCATATTCCGAGTTATTTAGAAAAACTGCGTTTACGAGCGATTTACAACCTCGTTTTTACTGAAAGAACTCTTATTCAATTGATAATTTATCATTGCGTAGTCATATCATCAAAGGGTTGGTGTAATGTGTACCTATACATTTTAAAATAATTGGTTAGATTTGCCAACAAAAACAAAAAAGTTGGACGTGAGAACCATGTTTTTTTAAGTAGTAATTATTTCAAGGATTATATTTTTAATCGAAAACCCTTAACTTTTGTATGTTTTTTTTTTAAATAAATTAAGGTTCGAATTGAAAATACCGCGGCGTTAGGTGCCAAATATTTCAGCCGATTCCTCATTACGATGTATACCCCGTAATAGCGATTTCATATACTTGATTTTTTTTTTAATTTTTAGGGTTGTTTTTATGACAAGGCCATTCCCGCTTTTTAAGGCATTTAAAATCTATTTCCGAAGTATACTTTTGCCTTTCATTCGCCAATTATAGCATTTCAAAGGTGATCTATTTAGGTATTTTGTTAATTTATTGTATGGGAAAGCTAATAAAGAAAATTGAGGTTCATACACAATTTGATGTCATTTTCAGTATATTCATAATTTTCACCATTTCAGCATTATATTATATTTACGAAAATTATGTAATTAGGTGTTCAATATATATATATATATACATATATATAAAAAGAGAGAAAAGATATATATATATATATATATATATATATATATATATATATATATATATATATATATATATATATATATATATATATATATATAAAAAAGAAAGAGCCAACTGTTAAAGCTGAAGACCGAGTGTGGCAGCATCGTTTCCGGTACAACTGACATTTTGAGTGAAATTGAGAGGTTCTATAGGCAGCTGTACACGTCATCGTTGGAGCTACACGCAAGTGTGAGTAAAAATCCAAGAGCGGGTCTTATGCGTCACTATTCCGATGATATCCCGGACGTAAGTCCGAGCGAGATTAGAACGGCTCTCCAGCACTTTAAAAACGGCAAGGCCCCAGTTGACGAAGAAACTACAGCGGAGCTTATGAAAGTGGGTGGAAAACCGGTACTTGAATTCCTTCAGAAGCTCTTTAATTCCATCCTCCATGGTGAGACAACTCCGGAGTCGTGAAGCAGAAGTGCGATGGTCTTGTTCTTCAAGAAAGGTGACAACGCTCCGTTGAAGAATTACAGACCGATTTCCCTTTTGAGCCGCGACTACGTGCTGTTTTCGAGAGTCATACAAATCGTCTAGCACGCAGACTTGACAACTTCCAGCTTCCCGAACAAGCTGGTTTCCGAAGAGGCTTTAGCACCCGTCGGCAAATTGTACAGAGTACAATCTGGCATTAGGAGCCAAATATTTCAGCCGATTCCTCATTACGATGTATACCGCGTAATAGCGATTTCATATACTTGATTTCTTTTTTAATTTTTAGGGTTGTTTTTTATGACAAGGCCATTCCCGCTTTTTAAGGCATTTAAAATCTATTTCCGAAGTATACTTTTGCGTTTCATTCGCTAATTATAGCATCTCAAAGGTGATCTATTTAGGTATTTTGTTAATTCGTGATTGACACGATTTAACGCTTCAATAATTTTATTTTAAATTCGAGCGTGACAGAGAACATTATATACATTATTATGTACGGTAGGGAAGGATGCATGATAGCCAGAGCCTGATTAAGAGTTGCGACAGCCCTAGGCTATCTATGAACATGCTATCCCCCTACCGGCCTGTTCTGTCCGTGCATGCCCAGCCCACGAATATATTTAGTATATTTTTATATTTTACAAGCTTTCCACCCCTCATTTTCGTCCACATTAAATAGAATTTTCCTGATAGTAAGTGTAGCGACCATCGTCCATGAACAACCAACAATTGCAACACCAGGGAAATTGCAGGTGCGTTGCCGGCCTTTTTAAAAGGAATGAACTCGTTTCTTAAATGTATCTAAGTAGTATAGGTCTGGAAAAATCGCACGTGGTAAACGATTTTACAAAGAAGTATTGCGAGGGCGAAAACTCTTAGTGAATCGCACAGTCATGGCCGACAGCCTAGGATCTAGATGGTATGAATGGAACCGTGAGTTTTGTCCCTATGTGCGTGCCGAACAATTTGTCGAAATACTCCCCGTGAAAGTTGAGCTAGGGAATCGACCCAATCAGAAAGAACTCGGTCGTCGATGATTCAAACCAGTGTTCGCTGGATGCGATCAAGTGGAAAGCAATGGAGTGCCCCGGGTGAACCGGTGCTAACTCCGGAACACTTGTCTTCAGCACAATAGTTGAGACCCCATCAGACCCACTCGACTTGACGTGCAGGGAGAGGAATACTTTGCACACTGAGCGCTATGTAAACCGCACATCCAGCATGGAGCAATCACACCGCAGTATGGTCGGTGTTGTGTACTCCCTATCATCGAGAGTCGACTGGAGTCAAAAAGATCGACTTTCTCCAGCATGAGCTAGTGAGTCGTTCTCCCTGTACAGAGATGGAACACATGGCTGCCAGAATTTCCCTTGGACAGCATTAGCAAAACACTTAATAAAATTAGAGGCACAGAAGATATTTTGAGCTGTTTAAATTCTTTAAATCATGTCCAGTCAGTGAACTAAAGACGAAAGGTACAAAATAATTCAGTCATATTTTTACAACTTATTTTTATCCGTTTTGTACCAAAAAGAAAGAAAGAGCAACAAGTAAAATACTTGCTGCACTTAGTTAATTATTTATTGAGAATATTATGTATACCGAATTTTATTTTGTACATAAGGGCTGCTTGCAAAGGAAAGATCCAGCTTAGTTAGCCTGTGATGCTTACCGGAAAAGAAAAAGGTGCGTGTTCAGTTCTCTGTGTAATAGAAAAAGATAAATATATTCTCCCACCCAAAATTACTCTGGAGTCTGTAGCAGACCACATTTTCAATATATTTATATTTCTCAATGTTCTCTACTGCATCTAACATTTATTAGTGTATTGTGTTGAAAGTTTACAATAAAACAAACAATGAAGAAGCGTTTTTATGTGCTGAAAAATCAAAAATGCGTGATTTTTATGAACATTTTATTTAAATTTTTATTTGAAAATTGAATTCCGTAAAGAAAGTGGCTTTAAATATGGCGATGTTCTTTTAACCGCAGAGTTACGGGAAATGAAGCTGCAGTCTTTAGCAGATTCGATAGCAGTTGGCTGACACCCAGCGGGACTTACGCATCTTCAATACAGCTCGTATTGAAGAAGCGATCGAGAGGAACTAAGGCTCCGAAGTCTTTACCAGAAATTTGTCTGCCATAAAGAGCTAATTGTCGAAGCTGAAGACCGAGCGTGGCATCATTGTTTCCGGGACACCTGAGATTTTGATTGAGATTCAGAGGTTCTACGGGCAGTTGTACACGTCATCGTTGAAGCCATACGCAAGTGTGAGTGGCGATTCAAGAGCAAGTCTTATGAGAAATATAGCAAGTAATATCGAGGAAATCAGTCTGAGCGAGATTAGAATAGTAGCTATTCTAATCTCTGACTGATTTAGGTAATCACAGAGCATGCTATCAAAAAGTAACCGCCTTACGGGTAAAATACAATGAAAAATACTTAACATTTGTTAAAAATTTTGAAATTAGTAAAAAATTTAATAATTTATAATTTTATAACATAAAATTTTATAAGTTAAATTTATAAGAACAGATTAAACCGTTCGACAAACATAAATGATATATAAATAGGAAAATCAAAATGAACAAAATGAATATATTTTTATATTTTCGATTATTCGTCATTTATGTTGGTCGAACATGAATATCAGATAAAAATTAAAAATGCTAACAAATTTCTCTCGGGATATTTATTATCACAAAAAACTCGAAGTATAACTTTTTTTAAATATTTTAATGAATGTAATTTTTGGACGCATTTTGGTAGAATAATTTTTAAAAATTTAAAGAACTAAAATTTTTTCTTGTAATTTAATATATTTATGTATATTGTCAGGCGCCAATAAAATATGTAAATAAGGTTTTTAAGATCCGAAATAAACTTCCTTTTGGTTTATAAATAACCAGATAGTGATTTTCTTTTGTATAATAGTAGTGGTTAATAATTTAAAAATAAAAAATATTTTTATAACAATTGACTGATTTAATGTTCTTTTTAAATTTTTAACTGTTTAATATTTAATTTATCGTTAAATTTTATTTAAATTGTTAAATATCTAATTGTAAAATTTTTTATTTGGTTAGTGGGAGAATATATTTATCTTTCTCTGTCACAGAGAACTGAACGCACGCCTTTCTCTGTTCCGGTAAGCGTCTCACGCGCAGCTGCTATCGTGCATCCTTCCCTAGCGCACATAATAATATATACAGGATTATTTTTCAGAGTAGTCAAATTTTAAATTTAAGTTCAAATATATAAATAATAATATACTGTCATTGCAGTTTTTGAAAGTAGTATATAAGGCTTCTACTTTTATTTGAAATTATCCCAAATTGAATGTGATTTATAAGGTTAAGGTATAAGGTAACATAACATAAAAAACATAAACACTCACGCCTGTCACCCAGAGGGGTAGGCAGAGACTACGGACTTCCATTTGGCGCGATCCTGACACACCTCTCTCGCCTCTTTCACATCCATATATCTACGCATACACGCTCGTCGGTTAAGGGTACTCCTAATCTGGCCCATTTTCAATGTATCGCCGATCTGGTCGATAAACCTTCGTCTAGGGCGTCCCTTCCCGACCCTGCCGTTCACTTCTGCAACATAAATTTGCTTTGTCACTCTTTCCTCGTTCATTCTTTCTACGTGACCAAACCACCGAAGCATTCCTTTCTTAATCCTTGTCACAACATCATCTTGCAAACCACACTTTTCTCTTATTACACTATTTCTCACCCTGTCATTCAGATTCAGCCCTAGCATACTCCTTAAGGAACGCATTTCTACAGCATTTATTCTACTCTCATGCTTCTTCTGCCAAACCCAACTTTCACTACCATACATTAAAGTGGGTACTAACACAGCATTATGAATTGCCATACGTGCCTTAGTTGACACATTCTGACTCCTCACAATAGCGTGTAGAGCCCCATTCACTCTATTTCCTGCGTTCACTCGTCGTTCCTTCATCATCATATCTACCATCCCTGCTAAATAAACATCCCAAATATACAAACTCATCCACTTGCTCAATCAACTCCCCTTCTATTCTTATTTTACATAAAGTTTTACTTTCTTCTCTTTCAAAAACCATCACTTTCGTCTTACTTGCGTTCACTTTCATACCCCTTTCTTTCAATGAACAATTCATTAAAGTAACCATCATTTGCAACTCGGCCGCCGACGATGCAAATATGACTTGATCATCGGCGTACAAAAGGCATTTGACGGTTGACTCACCCATTCTCAACCCACATTCTTCAACTTTCAAAGTTTGCAAACAACTGTCCATAAATAGGTTAAACAGCCACGGGGAAGCCACACATCCCTGTCTGACACCTTTATGAATGCCAAACCAGTCCGAGTAGACCCCGTTGATCCTGACACAAGCACTAGAGTCCCTATAAAGAGACCTTAATGCCTGTATCAAGCCAGCGCTCAACCCAAATGAGTTCAGTGTTTGCCATAACACGTTCCTGTCCACTCTGTCATAAGCCTTTTCCAAGTCCAAGAACGCACAAAAAACTTTCTGGTTTTTAGCCAAAAACTTCTCCGCTATCATGCGCATGGAAAAGACTTGATCCGTACACCCCATCCCCTTTCTAAATCCAGCTTGCACATCCCAAATTTTTCCATCAGTTTCTTCTATAAGGTAAATGTATTAAATTAAAAAAGAATTGTAAGTTCTAAAAATTTTGTTCATTAAATTTTTAAAAATTAATATTCTACCACAATGCGTCCAAAAAATTACATTCATTAAAATATAAAAAAAAAATAAGTTATACTTAGAGTTTTTGTGATGATAAATATCCCGAGAGAAATTTGTTAGCATTTTTAATTTTTATCTAATATGTCTGGTGGATTAAAAGCTCATTAATCACTTTCATTAATAATAAATAAATAATGATCTATGTACCTTTCCGACGTTAGTTATTCGGCCATATCCAGAGACCAGACATTTTCCTTGGTAATCAGCGTAGCGACTTGCGTACGGTATTTCGTTCACGTATTTGTTATAAATGAACGGAGTTTTGGTAAACTAGTAACAAAAATATAATGTACCATTTCGCGATATATTATATGTGGCACGTAACAGTCACAGCGAATAAGTTCTTTTCAGTAAAAGCATCAGTATGGAAGCAGGTGGTGTCAGCTTTACAAAATCAGTCATTTAACATGAGTTCTTTCTGGGTTTCTGGTTCCTGGCAAGGCCAGAAACTTGTAGGCTTCCGATTGATGGTAGTATACTATTTTTAACACGCTTTTATTAGCTTCGCGTGTATCTCTTATATATCTATTTGACTAACTATCTATCTATCTAACGGAATCATTTGAAAATTTGCAATCGTATCAAGTACCGATGACAATACAAAAATTTAATTATCCTAGTATCCTGATCAGAATAATAAAATAAAATAATTATCAAGATCATTACAGCTCATGATCAGTGCGTGTTATTCAAGTTTTTTAAAACTCTTATATTACATATTTTGAGTACATCATAGCTTTAGCAACCAAAATGTTTTTTATCGTTTTACATTCTATGTTTATCGTATTTCGTAATATTAGGATTAAAAAAAAAAAGAAAAAAGGAGAGAACACGTGCGGCGTGTTTTCCGCTGTTTCACAAGTACCTCATTTAAAAACGTTCAATTCAAAAAAATCTACCATAGATAAAAAAAGACAATTGGCAAACAAAATTTTATTTTCTTAGGTCGATGTAATAAATATTTCATTTCATTTCATCAGGTGAACCGTTAGCATGTTTACCATTACAGCCTATTAAAAGTCCACTGCTGAACACTAGCCAGCCCAAATAGATTACTTCATAGGGGAAATACTTGTAATAAATGCCACAATTGGCAGAGGGAATGCAAACGCAATTTATTTTTATTTTTAAGTTGTTATTAGGAAGACGCTGACGCTGCTGTCCATCTCCTGGTATGTTACCCTCTGGTACTTACGACATCCATGGTAAGATATGGGGTAATACTATACGGTCTGTTAGCACGTGTTTTAACTACAATATTTTTGTAAAAAAATATCATACCACAATAGCAATATCCTTTTTAGGAAACTTGTACTTGGCCGGATAATATACTTCTTTTAGCTTTCTCCACTGTCCTTCAGGAGTATCGTCACTCTCCGGTTTATAGCCTTTGTTGTACAGCGTAGCAGCCACTGCGAACTTGTTTCGCAACTCTTTTTTTTGAACCCGCCTGTAGGAAAAACACATGCAAATCTCAAAAAGCAGAGGTAACATTTTTTTCTTTTTGCAAGCGCTTATCGTGCACTATGCTAAATTGGGAACTAAGGTCTAGAATTAACAAACACCATAAGCCCCTAAAACCCCTTTTTTATGTAAAAATAGTAATTAATCGATTAAAAAAAAATTATAAGTTCAACAATCATTTATCTTTCTGAAAATGTGATTTTTATATCATTTTTATGTATAATATGATGATTGCTAGATACGATTTCATGCGACAAAACGTTGGAATCTTAATTTTTAGGCCTTAGCAGAACATACCAGCGCGCTTCGCGCTTAAGGCATGCAATATAGTATAACAATCATAGTATAAGCATAGCAATAATACGAGTAGCTTGGTAGACTGATTGCGCGGAGCAGAGTTGCCGACTCCAGCTTAGTTTGAGTCGCCAAAAAGCTGAATGTAAGCTACTTTGCGCCAGAAATAAATGATTTTTTCTTTTTAAAAACGCTTAATTTTAAAGTCAAATAGCCTTTTGGATTATTGGGGTATTTTGTAGTGCCAGTGGGAATCGAATGCGGGCTTGCGTACTGCGAAATTTACGGCGGAACACTTAATAAATACAGAAAAGAAGTTTATAGAGACGTAGAATATACGTTGTTGAAAAAATTGCCTCTATCCGTTTAGTTTCAGTTACATTTGTGAAACACTTCCTTCCTTCACAGCCTATATTGCCTTATGTGAGGGATATTTGCCGTAGTGTCCATGCTTGGCAAGTGGGTTGGCAAACGCAGTTATTTTTATTCAGGTGTTAAAGATGCTGCTGCCCAACACTTGGTTCAGTTTCTCTCTGTTGTCTCTTACGACACCCACGGGACACGAGGTTATAATAGTATTAAAAAACATCAACTGAGAGTTTATGTTTTTTAATACTATCTACCCAGTTACCCAGAGGTGTAGGTAGAGACTAGTATATAGTAATAATATATTTATCTGTTTTTGTGGCATTCCTTGGGGAAGGCCTATGTTCAGAGTGGACTTGTGAAGGGCTACAATGATGGTGATGATGATATTTATCTGTTAAGTGATTACCAGTGGTGTTAGCTTAGTAGAAAACCATAACCGCCAGCTCATAACTCGCCTGTATTAGTATTCGATTTGACTTTACCTAATAGATATAGGTACTTTTAATCGCATTTGCTCATTTATATATATTTTTTAACAGTGCAAAATAATTATATCGAGTGTGTTCGGAAATTTTCTGCTTTCTAAATCTAACTTCTTAGGTAAATGTAAATTATAATAACGATAAAATCCTATTTGTAAAAACAATACGTACCCACGTTTAAAGAAGATTTTTGCGCATGCACTTTTGTCTTCCACGAAACAATGGGCGGCCGAGAGTATCTTTGTGGGTCCTACGATTGTACCACCACAAAAGGTTAAATATGACTGAGTAGTACGCGATGCCAATGCCTTAAATGCCACCTAAAAGACCCGAAAGTATTGTGATTATTTTCTTATAATGAGATATTTTTATTTATTAAACCTAAGTTACAAACGAATGAGGGCTAATAATCTTCCACTCACCAGATGTCGCTAGTTGTACCCGAGGTAAAGTTTTTTGTTACACAATGTCAGTTAATTGAGAAATTCGTTTGAAAATAATAGTTTATCATTATATAGAGTATAATATTAATACAAAACACAATGCGTCAGTGGTTTGATTATTAATTTATCGCACATTATAACTCTTTATTTTTTCTATTTTTAGTAGGTAATATTTATAGTTTGGTTTAATAATTTCTAATCAATATAAAATATAACTAATAATACGGAAAGAAACATTATGCCTAGTTTACATTTTCCTAAGAAATTATCATCCCCGCTATGAACTCTGCCAAATATTTTACCTCATTGTAAAGTGGCGCCGCCCTGGTGGCAAAAACAGTCGTGGATGCCCTCATTGACAAATGATAAGTAGCTACTTCAGCCTATGGACGCCTGATCCAAGTTCAAACAAAGAAGGCTACAGTTGCTTTGTCACCACTTATAACTAAGATGGAGTGCTCCAGTCTGTAATTATAATGACGGTAGAAATAGAAAAGAGGTTGGACCAGACGGACTCTATGATAACGCGTAAAATCGCAGTATAATACTATGTTTCGTATGGTAAGTGAAGTGAAACAGATAACCTACTCATCGATAACGAGGTATTCCATTTCAGTTGTCAGGGGTGACAAGTAACAACAAAGTTAATTGAGGAGATATACAAGGTTATTTTGCAATAACCGGCCAAATTTGCATAGAAGGTTCAGAATAAGTACTTACTTACCTACTTATCTTCACGCACAATCCCTGACGGGGTAGCCAGAGAGAACAGATCGCCAAGTGTCACGATCCTTACATACTTCTTTCGCTTCTTTCAGATTCATTATTTTCTTCATACATGTACGTCTAGGTATCCGAGTACTCTTGACCCTACCCTCTTCGAGCAATTTGCTCACATGGTCTTCGAAAGTTAGTCTCGGTCTACCTCGATACCTTTTAGTATTAACTTTCGCGCTATATATTTTCTTCACCATTCGGTCTTCACTCATTCGCTCAACGTGCCCAAACCACTGAAGCACGCCCTTATCAATTTTTGTGATAAGGTCATCTTTAAAACCTGCCATATTGCGAATCTCTTCGTTTCGCTTTCGGTCGGCCATGGTAACGCCGCACATTTTACGAAGAGATCGCATCTCCACTGCATTCAACTTGCTTTTATGCTTCTTCTGGCATACCCAGGTTTCGCTGCCATATAACAAAGTCGGTACCAACACTGCGTTATGTATTGCAAGGCGTGCACTCTTCGCTACGCCTTACCTTTTGGCTAACGCAGTCAGGGCACCATTGACTTTGTTCCCGGCAGCTACACGCCTATCCACATCTAAATCACATCTTCCATCTCGGCTAAAAGCACTCCCCAAGTATACAATTTCATTTACCTGTTTTAGACATTCCTGATTTACCCATATTTCACACTTCGTTCTCTCTTCGTCCCTTTCAAATACCAGAACCTTAGTATTATTAGCATTCAAACGGAGACCTTTAATTTCACATTCCTCTTTCATACACGTGACTAATGCCTGCAGTTCTGCCTCTGATGGTGCAATAAGCACTGCATCATCAGCATTTACTTTAATGTCACCCAATTTCATACCCAAACAGCTATCTTTCAGCTTCTGTAAACAGCTGTCGAGATACAGTATGAACAGCCAGGAAGACATGACACAACCCCCGTGTTTTACGCCCGTTTGGACGCTGAACATGGATGACAGGTCATGCCCTACCCGCACACAGGATCTACAGTCATAGTAAAGTGACTGCACAGCCCTTAGCAATCGACCATCCACACCATACCCCGGCAACAGTTCCCACATTTTCTTCCTTACAACCTTATCAAATGCTTTCTCAAGATCCACAAAAGCACAGACAATCTTCTGGTTAGCAGCCAGAAGCTTTTCCGTGATCATGCGGAGAGAAAACATTTGATCCGTGCATCCTCTTCCAGGTCTAAATCCGCATTGTGCCTCCCATAGAAATCTTTCCGATTTCTCTTGCATCCTACGTGTCAAAACCTTCGAGTAAACTTTACTTGCTAAACTGGTCAAGCTGATCGCCCGATAGCACCCGCAGTCAAAATGTGAACTAATTTGTCACAGTCACAACTCACAACCGTTCAAAACCACTTTTGGCTGTAAGAATCAGGCCTAAATGGTTTTGATCGAAGTCGTTAGTCAAAAACAGTTTTGACTGATTTTAGTAGTCAAAAGTGGTTTTGACCAACGTTCTTAGTCAAAAGTAATTTTACCTCATTTAAAGTTCAGACTAAAAGACTAAAGGTCAAAACTCGCAATATCAGTGACAGTAGGTTACGGTGCCGCTGGGGTGGCCCTTGTGCCAGCCTAAAGCGTGCATTATAATGATATAAAATATAATATTGAAGAAATTTAACTTTTTAATTTGAGAAATTCAAAAAGTATAAGTAAAAAAAGTAGTTTCGACTAACATTCTTGGGCGAAACTAGTTTTAGCTGATATGATTTGGTCTAAATCACTATTATCCAATATTTTTGCAGTTAAAAATAGTTTTGACCAACATCCTTAGTCAAAACTACTTTTGTTTGATTTTTTTACAGTCAAAAGTGGTTTTAGACCGGTTATGAATTTCGACTGTAACATATATATATCGTTATATTAGTTTTGACAGTAAAGCACACTTGGTTATCTTCTATCGAAATATATTACGACGATGTAAAGTCTACCAACAAACTTTTCAGAAATGTAAGGTCTGTACCCAACTCCTCAGTAAGATTATAAGCCATTTATTAATTGTACTATTTGCATCTATTGCGCAAGATCGCTCGTACCTGGTATGGAACATCTCCAAGCTTTGCTGGGAACCCTCGTACAACACGAGGCACGATATCTATCTCAATTTTGGAAGATTTATTAGTTATTGATAAACATTTACCCAAAATAGTAAGTATAATAATATATCTTAAGAGATTTGTAAACATGAAAACATTGAAAAGTAACAGAAGAAGATTAACTGACAGTCAGTACTGACGCTTGAATGACGTTGAGTAAAGGCGACAATAAATCATTTTGCCCTTGTCATTTTTTATTCTTTATTAGTGCTTTATTGAAATGGTTGTTGCCAAACTAGGAACAAAAGAGTTCTTTATATTCTCTTTGATCTACACCATCATCGTCATTACAGTCCCTCGCAAATCCACTGCTGAACATGGGCTTCCCCCAAGTACTGCTACAAAACATAGTTCAGGACCAGCCATCCGTACTCCGTAGCCATGAATTTGTAAGACGTGTAGGAGCGACGAACATACAGGAGCATTTCTTAAATGGGGGGCCGCCCTACACTTTGCTAACTGGTACGAGGCTGCCACTCGAGAAACTCCGAGCACAGCCTTTTATATAGCTCGCATACGGCTAGCATTGTAGGACCACGCCTTAGATCCATAGACGTAACTGGCAACACGCACTAAATTTACACTTTTTTATGTTTTGAGGAATACTTGATTATTTATATTATATTAGGGGATTTATTATGGGGGATGAGTCGCTCGCGTCCGTAGGCTTCGACCACCTAATCCTAGGCCCACCCTACACGTGTCCCCCGGGTGGTGCTAAACGAGCGACAAAGCCGAAACGACAGACTCGGCTCCTCGCCGTATGGTAGCGGCATAAAATCTACCACCACTTAGTTCGCACCATGAGCCAAGAAGGAAAAGAAATGGCCCCGTTTTCCCGGCGCCCCTTTAATGGGGCAGGGGTGCGAAGAATCTCCGGGAGAAAAACCGGCGACGAGGTTCGCCACCCGTCACGTCCTGTCTCCCGGGGGGGGGGGGGGGCGAAAAGTGGATTGCGGAAGCCCGTCTGGCCACGCTGAATGTATGTGGAGCAATGAATGATAAGATGGATGAAGTATGCGAAATGATGAATGATAGAGGAATAGATGTGTTATGTGTAAACGAGACGAAACGAAAGGGAAGAGATGTCACTGTACATGGCATGTATACCGCTTACTGGTCTGGAGTAGACGAGACCGAGCGGGCATGCCAAGGAGTCGGTGTCATCCTTTCAGAAAGAATGGGTCAATGTGTGAAAGAGTATGAATGTGTTAGCCCAAGGCTGCTGTGGATGCGAATGAAAGTGGGCTTAAAGAAGTTGTTTGTGCTAGGGGTGTACGCCCCAGATATGTCTAAGCCCACTTATATCCGAGAGCAGTTTTGGGACATGGTAAGGCTGGTGTTGATGAAATGTAAGAAAAATGAAAATATTATTATGTTAGGAGATTTTAATGGAAGGGTTGGGGTGAAGAGGTCTGGTTATGAAAGGATATTAGGAACGTTTGGCGATGAAAGAATAAATGAGAATGGTGAAGACCTCCTCACCGTATGTGTGGAAAAGAATATTTTTGTGGCGAACACTTTCTTTCGCCATAAGAGGATTCACATGTATACATGGGAAAGAGGGGATGATAGAAGCATGATAGATTTTATAATTGTGGATGAAAGAATGAGGAGCGCAGTGGTAGATACAAGGGTTTACCGGGGGTCCAACGTAGGGACGGATCATTACTTGGTCTTATGTCGAATTAATGGTCTATTCAGACGTTGGCGGCATCGGACATCGGTGTCTACCACTGCGTTACAGCGTATAAGAATAGAGAGGTTACAAGATGAAGGTGTGAAAGAGAAGTATAAATGCAGATTGAGGGAAAATATAAGTGGGTTGAATGAATTATGTATGAATGATTTAGAATTGAAGAATGTATGGAATAATATTAAGAAAGTTTTGGTGGATGCAGCCACCGAAGTATGCGGTGTAAGTAAGAGAACGAATGAAAGGAAAAGTAATACGTTGTGGTGGGATGATGAGGTACGGATGGAAGTTGAAGCAAAGAAGAGAGCATGGCTAGATTTACTAGCAACTAAAGCTGGTAATTCTGGCGGTATGAATGATGAGATTGAAAGAAAAAAGGCAGACTTTAGACGTATAAATAAGAGAGTAAAAGAAGTTGTTGAAAGGAAAAAGCAAGAAAGGATAGATAAGAATGATAGAAGGATATCTGATAACTTTCAGGCAAATATTAAAATGTTCTGGAAGCTCGTAAGAACTGCCAGGGGAAATTCAAAACAGCCTAGAATAAATGCTATACGAGACGAGAATGGCTGCATGCTGAATGATGAAGTTTCAAATTTAAAGAGATGGAAGGAATACTTTGAAAGCGTGTTTAAGAGTGAAGAGTCGTCTGGAATAAGTGAAATAGAAATTCCGGAAGAAGTGGAGAGAGGTAGGGAGATAAGTGTAGATGAAATAATGAAAGCAATGAAAAGCATGAAAGCAGGTAAGGCAGCCGGATATGATAGAGTATCACTCGAAATGCTGAGGGCTGGTGAGGGTGTGGTTACAGGCCTGCTGCACACCTTGTTTAATTTGTGTTGGGAACTGAAACGGGTACCGGAAGACTGGTGCAAAGCCTTTATAGTCCCAATATATAAGGGAAAGGGGTCGCAGCAGGACTGTAAAAACTACCGTGGTATCAGCTTGCTTAGCATTGTGGGTAAACTGTATGCTAAGGTGTTAATTGAAAGAGTTATGGAAGAAACTGATGGAAAAATTTGGGATGTGCAAGCTGGATTTAGAAAGGGGATGGGGTGTACGGATCAAGTCTTTTCCATGCGCATGATAGCGGAGAAGTTTTTGGCTAAAAACCAGAAAGTTTTTTGTGCGTTCATGGACTTGGAAAAGGCTTATGACAGAGTGGACAGGAATGTGTTATGGCAAACACTGAACTCATTTGGGTTGAGCGCTGGCTTGATACAGGCATTAAGATCTCTTTATAGGGACTCTAGTGCTTGTGTCAGGATCAACGGGGTCTACTCGGACTGGTTTGGCATTCATAAAGGTGTCAGACAGGGATGTGTGGCGTCCCCGTGGCTGTTTAACTTATTTATGGACAGTTGTTTGCAAACTTTGAAAGTTGAAGAATGTGGGTTGAGAATGGGTGAGTCAACCGTCAAATGCCTTTTGTATGCCGATGATCAAGTCATATTTGCATCGTCGGCGGCCGAGTTGCAAATGATGGTTACTTTAATGAATTGGTCATTGAAAGAAAGGGGTATGAAAGTGAACGCAAGTAAGACGAAAGTGATGGTTTTTGAAAGAGAAGAAAGTAAAACTTTATGTGAAATAATAATAGAAGGGGAGTTGATTGAGCAAGTGGATGAGTTTGTATATTTGGGATGTTTATTTAGCAGGGATGGTAGATATGATAAGGATATAGAACGACGAGTGAACGCAGGAAATAGAGTGAATGGGGCTCTACACGCTATTATGAGGAGTCAGAATGTGTCAACTAAGGCACGTATGGCAATTCATAATGCTGTGTTAGTCCCTACTTTAATGTATGGTAGTGAAAGTTGGGTCTGGCAGAAGAAGCATGAGAGTAGAATAAATGCTGTAGAAATGCGTTCCTTAAGGAGTATGCTAGGGCTGAATCTGAATGACAGGGTGAGAAATAGTGTGATAAGAGAAAAGTGTGGTTTGCAAGATGACGTTGTGACAAGGATTAAGAAAGGAATGCTTCGGTGGTTTGGTCATGTAGAAAGAATGAACGAGGAAAGAGTGACAAAGCAAATTTATGTTGCGGAAGTGAACGGCAGGGTCGAGAAGGGACGCCCTAGACGAAGGTTTATCGACCAAATCGGCGATACATTAAAAATGGGCCAGATTAGGAGTACCCTTAACCGACGAGCGTGTATGCGTAGATATATGGATGTAAAAGAGGCGAGAGAGGTGTGTCAGGATCGCGCCAAATGGAAGTCCGTAGTCTCTGCCTACCCCTCTGGGTGACAGGCGTGAGTGTTTATGTGTTATGTGTGTTATATTATATTATGAAACTAGTGATCCACCCCGGCTTTGCCTTGCTTGGATCTATTAATGAGGCGTCATTTAGGTTTATAATCATCAAAAATCATTTATTTTAAAAGTTGTTGATTTCATAAAAAAAAATTCCAAAGTTATTTTAAATAAAATATAGCTTAGATCACTCCTGACATTGTTCTCTAGCTGTTCATCGAAGTATCATCACAATCGGATTAGCCATTCCAAAAATTAGCTCGGACAGACAGACAGACAGGCAAACAATTTTAAAATGGTTATTCATGTGTTAACAGTATAACGGCAAACAACCCCCTGAACTCAATCATACGCAGTTATTTAGATGTTACAGATAGACACTTTAATTTTATTTATGTGTAATGACTAGAACCTACTACAGTGTTGTTATTTAGATTTTGGATAAATAAAAACTATTTATTTTATAAATTGTTCGTTTTTTTTTATAAAATCTCAAATTTTTGGGATAAAATATAACCTAGATGTCTCCTGGCATTGTGTGATGTAGAGAAGCCCACACGAAATATTACCTAGGTAGTTATATTAATCTGAATTTTAGTTATAAGTGAGCAGTCTAATTGAAGTCTTAGAAAGAACAACACAGCTCCTTCTCATAAACACGTTTCCAACATTACAATTGCCCAAAAGATTCAGCCAAAGAGACAGACAATTTTTTTTAAATAAGTAAATGAATAGTATACAAATAACATCTTGAGCTTAATAGAAACCAGTTATTTCAATTACAGACAGACACTTCAATTTTATTTACATGTTTTTTTTATAGTATAAGGGTGACAAACAAGCACACAGTCCACCTGGTGGTAAGTGGTTGCTGTGGCCCATAGACATCTACATCTATCCTCGTTTGCGAATCAAAATGCAGATGCGTTGTCACCCGTGAGGACTAAGATGGAATGCCTATTTTCCAGTAAAAAGGGACGTCGGTTCTCTACACTCACCATACGAAACACAGCTGTGTTAAGCTGCTACTTTACGCTGGTGTTATATAAGAGCGTGGTCCTTCCCCGGTCGAACCGACCCATTCGTGCTACAACGATACTACTAATATAGCTGCAGCATGGCTCTACCACGTATA